AGGTCAGTCCAGGTGTCCAGGAAAGAGGCGGTGGGCTACACAGCCCAGGGGAGCAGAGCTCTTTTTTTTTTTTTTTTTTAAAGATTTATGTGTGTGTGTGAGTACCTTACATGTGTACATGTGCACCACTTGTGTACTTGGTGCCTGAGGAGACCGGAAAAAGGTGCCAGATTCCCTGGAACTGGAGTTACAGATGATTGTGAGCCACCTGGTGTGGGTGCTGTAAACCAAACCTGGGTCCTTTGCAAAAGCACTAAATGCTCTTAACTGAGCCAATCTCTCCAGTCCATTTTTGTTATTTTGAGACTGTAGCTCAGGTTGGCCTTGACCGCTTAGTAATCCTGCTGCCTTCCAGAAAGGGTGATTTTCAGTTGAAATTTTGAGATACTCCTTGAATGCAGGTGAAGGCTTACATGTTGGGGAATTTGAGAAGTCTAGATTGGACTCTGGCTTTTGTCTCTCAGAAGCATGCCTGGGTGTGGAGGGCAATCTTATTGGGAGACCTGATAATGAAAGCTTTACCCAAGTCACCTGGAAAACTCTTAATTTGCATGTAACTACACTTGTTAGTGGTTAGAAAAACTAAGACTGGCTGTGGTGGTGTACACCTTTAATCCCCGCATTTGGGATTGATCTCTGTGAGATCAAGTCCAGCCTGGTCCACATAGTGAGTTCAGGCCAGCTGGGGATACAGGGCGACCCTGTCTCTAAAAACAACAACAAAAACCCCAAACACTCCCAAATATTATATTCCTTTCGCTCAGACCCTTATAGGTAGAACAGAAGCAATACTTTCTCCATTGTGTCAGTCTCCAAAGTGTGTGTGTGTGTGTGTATGTGTGTGTGTGTGTATGTGTTCATATTCACTTGCCTCAACACGTGTGGAAGTCTGAGGACAACTTTCAGGAGTCAGTTCTCCTTCCACTGCTGGTTCTGAGGCTCAAACTCAGGTCACTTTTACCCCACTACACCATCTTGCCATCTGATTTGATTAGTTGCTATTTTAAGGGTACTTTCTTTGAAGTCTACTTGACATAGAACAGAAAAAAGCTATTTTGAGGGAACCTTTCAAAGGGTTTGATTCCTGTGTGTATCGCGGTAGTCCACACCTCAGTCCTGAGAATAGAGTGTCACACTCAGCCTCGGAACTGCAGGCAGCCTGGTCTTGCCCTGAGAGCCAGGCGGCTGCTAAGCTGTTCTTCCCATTGATCAGTTGTTCTTTTTCAGTAATTCATTAAATGCAGTCAGGTGGAGCAGACTCTTGTCTTGACTGCTTTGACTGGCAAGGTGCTTTTGCAATGCGTCCATGTTCCTTTCATGGCTATTTTTTCCTTTGTAGTTGTGGAATGGCATTTGAGCAGTATTCTGGTGCATGGCTGAGTCCTTTCCCTGTTGCTGGCTGTCTAGTCACGTTGCCATGAGCTCCTCTCTCCTCTTTCCCCTTGCTCCTATGCCTACCCTTTCCTCTGTGCCTTCTTTTACCTCTTCCTGTGCCTAAGAGTTGTATCCTCAGCCCCCCTTTCACCTCTTATTTTAAGACAGGGTCTCACTTTAGCCCAGGCAGGCCTTGAACTCGTGATCCTCTTGTCTCCTTCCTGAGTAGCTGAGATTACAGGCTTCCACCACAAGGCCTGAGCTGGCCTTTCCAGCAGCAAATTGTCACACAGCATAGCAGCTGTTGAGCTCTTCGCAGAGCCTTCATTAACAGAATTACATATAGGACAGCAGGGATAAAAGACAAACTGGGTATGGTGGCACATACCTTTATCCTAATACTTGGGAGGCAGACAGATCCCTAGAGTTCAAGGACAGCCAGCCAGGCTACATAATGAGACCCTGCCTGTCTCAGAAGCAAGATAAGTACAGATAAGGTTTTCCAGTGTGAAAGAACTTAGCTCCTCCTCCTAAGAGTCACTGGGAAAGCTGGGCCTGGTGGCACAGGCCTTTAATCCTAGCACTTGGAAGGCAAAGGCAGGTGGGGCCAGCTGGGGCTACAGGGAGACCCTGTCTCAACCCCCTCTCCCCCCAAAGTCCCTGGGAAGCCAAGAGCTCCCTGCCGTCAGGTCGTGAGAATTCCTGGAGTCGGGGCACTCTGGTGGTGTGTACAGAAGCAGGTCCATCTGTTGAAATGACCACTTCCTAAATTTTACATTTGTTCATTTATTTTGCATTTGTGTGGGCATACATGGCAGCTTGTGGAATTAAAGTTCTCTCCTTCCACCATGTGGGTTTTGTGATTGAACTCAGGTCATTTGGGTCATCAGGCTTGGTGGCAAGTGCCTTTACCCACTGAACCATCTCACTGGCCCAATGTCCTAATTTTATTTATTTTTAAGTTGTTGTTTTGGTTTGTCTTTTTTTCTTTTCTTTTCTGGGATGGGGTTTCTCTATAGTTCCACCTGGCTTGGAACTCACTATGTAGACCAAGCTGACCTTGATCTCAAAGAAATCCACCTGTCTCTGCCTCCCAAGGGCTGGGATTAAAGCTGTGTGACACCACGTTCAGCCAGTAATTTCCTAATTCTAAAACTTTATTTATTGTGTGAGTGCATGTATATAACATACTTGTGCCATGTCAAGTGTGTGGAAGTCAGACAACTGTGGAATCTATCTTCCCCTTCTACCTTGATCCAGGTATCAGATTCAGATCCCCAGGCTTGGGCAGTAAGTGCCTTTACCCACTCAGCCATCTCACTGGTCCCCATTTCCTCATTTTCAGTATGGTAGCGTTCACAGCCAGCTGTGGCATACCTGAAGACCCGTGCAGGTAAAAGTGGGGGGCTCCTTGTGTAGGCACAGGGAGAAAGCACTTTGGTGTCTCTTTAGTCTCCCCAATGCTGCCATAGTGTTCTTATTTTGTGTTTGATACCAAGCTTTCATCACCATGTGGGGGAGGCCTCTGCCTCCCTGTGATTAGCTGCGGGCCACTGATGATGTTACCGGCTCAGCATTTCTTTAGTCTGTATGAGCCCTGACAGAAGAGAACAGTGAAAGTACATGGGCACAGGAGTAAGGTGCTTTTCTGACTGCCATACTCTGGACTGAGAAGGAAGAGGAAGCTCTCCTTCCCTCCCCCCCTAAACTTTTTACCTTTTGGTTTTTTGAGACTGGGCTCATGTAGCCAAGGACCTGGACCTCCTGGTTCTTTTGTCTCCACATCCCAAGTGGTGGAATTGTAGGTGTGCAGCACCAAGCCCAGCTTTCAGAATAGTGATTTAAGGAAGGAATTTTATTTTTTTTCTCCCGGTATTTTGAGACAGGGTCTCCCTGCAGCCCCAGCTGACCTGGAACTCACTATACAGACCAGGCTGGCCTTGAACTCAACAGAGATCCGCCAGTCTCTTCTGGGATTAAAGGTGTGCACCACCATGCTGAGCAACATCTGTAATTTTAAACTGTCCTACTTGGAGACTACTTCACCCTGACTTATTTCTGTGAGGCTGTGTGTATAAAGGTCTGGTTTGTACCAAGAAACAGGTCTTGGGAGGTCTTAGCCTTGGGGCCTTTCAGCCAGTGCAAGAGACGACAGATGCTGGGAGAAGGATTTTTCCTATACTAAAATATTAAAATTGTTAACTCTGGTCTAGTAAAGAGAATGTAGCGCTTGTCAGAGCCCATGGGTGAGTTTGATACTGGCCTTCATGGTGGTGGTGCCAGCATCTGTTTTGGCTTGTAGCTTGAGATACCAGCTTCTCTAGGGTACTTAGTCAAGCACTCTCCAGGGACTTGGCTTCTGGTAAGTTTTTACTTGGCGTTTGCCATTCTGCTCTATGACCTGGCTGCTTTCCACATTGTCCATTTCTTACTCGATCCCTTTCTTCCCCTAGTCTTCATATTTCCTAGGCTTGCAAACAGATCTATAACTCAAAAAGGAACTTCATTACAAACTTGAAAAATCAAAATATGTTCTAAGAACATGTCACAGGGGACTGGAGAGATGGCTCAGAGGTTAAGAGCACTGGCTGCTCTTGCAAAGGACCTAGGTTTGGTTCCCTGGCACCCACTTGGTGGCTGGGAACCATCTGTAACTCCAGTTCTGAGCGACCTGACGCCCTCTCTGGCCTTCACAGGCATTGCACACTTGTGGTGGACCAGCATACATGTGTAGGCAAAACACTCATGCACATTAAATAAAATTTTTTAAAATTTTTTTAAAATTTATTTTTTATTTTATGTGTATGTACATGTATTGCCTGCATAAGTGCACCCATGTCGTGCAGTGCCTGCAGAGGACAGAAGGCTCTCATGATGGAGTGGTGAGAACTGGCCTCATGGCATGATGCACAGACGAAGCAGAATCAAGCACCATTGGGTGTCAGACTGTTGGCAGACACTGGGTAAGGTGCTGTTCACCTGGGGTCACAATTAACATTCAAGACTGAAAGAGTCTGGGCTTAAATTTTACTTGACTGATTTTATTTTTTAATTTTTTTTTTTT